TTTATAGTGATTCATCAGGTGGAAAACGAATAGATAGACAGATAGATAAACCGATATGTGGTGCCATCTAGTGTACCTAAATTAATCTAGAAATTTTCATAAAAGTAACCCGAAAAACGGGGCTAATTCTGTAACCCGTGGCCCGATTTTAACGAAACTTGTTTTATTCTGTTATGCGCTTTCTTGCTGTATTTTATTACAGACAAGCAAACACACAAACAATCTCAGAGTTTTGGTAGTATATAGATGGATAATACACTTTTTTCAATTTGTTAATTTAATAATATACATCAACTTTTTATGAAATTAATAGATCATGAATTATGTATACTGTCGCGTGCTGATTGTTGGTTTAATAATATACGTGAAATTTTTAACAAATTAATAGATCATGAACAACGAGTGCGTTTATTTACATACATTAACTTGTGGAATAACAGTACACCACACACGATATTTTAATTAAGTTGTGGAATAACAGTACATCACACACACGAGATTTTAATTAACTTGTGGAATAACAGTACATCACACACACGAGATTTTAATTAACTTGTGGAATAACAGTACATCACACACATGAGATTTTAATTAACTTCCCTTACAGAGAGAGAGAGAGAGAGAAAACAACAACAACTTAGTATCACGAACCTGTGCACATTAAGCTTTTATCAATGCATTTTTCATTATCCTTGATTGCCATGGCAACAACTGGGTACTCTATATACTATATTATCTCCGCAAGAACCTCTTGTAAGTACAGTCCAATTACCCGTGTAGTGTTAACGCACAAATTAACGACAGTAGCAACGGCTATATACCGATGACGCAGAGACACGCGTAACCAATCGTGCATGTTGTTATTGTTTAGTTTAACGACACTCGTATAGTACGTTTAATCTATTGTGAATATGTATAAGCGTTTGGTGAAAGTCTAAAAAAAAAGTACTTTGTAAGGAAAGCGGGAAGTCTTCGTTGCTGGTCAGTCTTGGAAAAAAAAATCTGCTTGCCTGCCTACCCGTTTTTTCTTACTGTTTGTCTTTGAGCGTAGCCTAGAGATTAGTGTATCGGGCTTGGGATCTGAAGGTCTTGGGTTCGAGGCGTGGTGCTTTAAAAGCAACTAGCACTTTCAGCTATGGTGGTGGTGGATTGGGGTGGGTGAGAGAACCCCAACAGCCAATCCTATGTAGATGGTAAGTGTTGCCTGCTGGTTGTTCTCCCTCTGGGCAGCAGTTCAAAATTAGGGAATGGCTATGCCTGAACTCTTGAGAATATGACCTGGCCATTGAGATCGTGTGATTTTACACAAAACACAACTTACCTAGACACTGTTATCTGTGTGTCTGTCCGTGTTATTAGTATTAACTTTCGATCAGAGCAAGCAACCTATATAGATCGAAACTAAAATTCAACCTGGTGTTTGTAATAATGATAGCTAATTACGTATAATTTTCTTACGTTATTATTTATAAAGATGAGAATGTATTGTGTCATCAGTTGAGAACCTTCACTGTTAACGATATTCTCGACCGTAATCCCAATAATATCACACGAGAATCGGCTACATTAAGAGACGTAGTTAGGCCTAAATAAATATATTAAGCCAAAAATGCAAAACAAACTTTATAACCAAAGTATGATAATAAAGAATAAAATCGTAATATAATATATATTTAACATTCTAACCAATACTGTTAATGAAAGGAAAAAAATATTCACGTGAGAAGTACTGAAATAGCGCTGAAAACGAGAATAATATAATCTTTTAATTTTCGTCTCTTCAGGTGTTTATCCATTTTCACACCTGTTAAGGTATCTTGATAGTGATTTTTAAAAATAAAGTTTATGCTTAGGAAATTGCATTATAATTCGTTTGAAATATCTGAACAAGTTTTATGCACCTGTTAGAGCTCTCTTAGAGACGATGAGTGGAGTCAGTCCGTCAGTGAACGTTACTTAAAAGATGGCTTCGATTAAAGTTAATCTGAAATATTTTATTGACCTTGATCTTTGTCCACCAGATGTAGCTCGCATAACGTCTCCACGTGGGTGTTTGAAACATGTTAGTGTGTCTTGTTTCAATTTTGGATGTAAAGTAAGATCTACTTAAAATATTACTTTCTGTAAACCGATACCTGGGTTATATCTTACATAACTTTCTGTAAACCGATACCTGGGTTATATCTTACATAACTTTCTGTAAACCGATACCTGGGTTATATCTTGCATTACTTTCTGTAAACCAATACCTGGGTTATATCTTACATTACTTTCTGTAAACCAATACCTGGGTTATATCTTACATTACTTTCTGTAAACCGATACCTGGGTTGTATCTTACGTGTTTTATCCACGTTTACTGGTTAATCCACCAAACATGTATGTTTCCATCAGGCTGATGTTTTGATAAACAGTTAAATTTTCTTTTCTTTTTCTTTTATAAATGATGCGATTGTTCTGGGATCAGGATTATCAAAAACGTTTTTGTACACATTATAAGATCTTTTTTTTTTATCAAAAATTTTACACCAATTCAAACTCTAGAATTACTGGTGGGGTCCATTTTTTAAAGAACTTTTTAAAACTATTTATGTGTAGATCCATGACTTTGTTGGTTACAGAGTTCCTAATAACGTACGATTAACTCCAAACGAATTATACAGAAATATCACCAGTTAATCCAACTATTCACGTATAGAATGAGGGAATTTATTCAGTTGGTTTAGTCAGTTAACGTGTGGACATGACCGGTATTATAAAGACAAGTCGGTAATCTAAGGATCAATGAGCTTATTTTTAGAAGTTAAAAGGCCTTAGTCTCGGTTAACATGTGGCTTATCTTTTCACAATCTTTCCAATAACCAATCACAATTCATCGCAGTTGAAGCTCTCTTCCAGGGACGAGCTCCTTTTATTTTTTCGTAGTAAAGTAGATTCAGATGTTTAATTAACACTCCGTGCATAAATCTACTTGTCGATAAAAAAGGTGCTTTTTATTTTTTTACTAGATAGCTTGAGCGTAACCTAGCGGTTAGCGTATCGGACTGCGTACCCGAATGCCTAAGTTTCAAGACGTGGTGCTACTAAATGCTCTTCGCATTTTCAGCGGTAGAGTCCTTATAAGAACAAAAAGCTTATTGTGTAGATAAAGTGCGTCCAGGTGAACAAAGAAAAGCCTGTTTGACAAACATCACATTGGCTGTTTATGATACCTTCCTAACAAATAAATAAAAAAAATATACATTAAAGAGAAAAACTTACGTTGATGTCTTTTATTTTTTAACTGTAGTCAAAACTAAATAATAATAATAGTAAGTTTTCCTAAGGGCAAACCTTCACAATACGTTTTAACAACGTCATTTTATAGTTTAGGTGTAAACAATAAAGTTATAATGTTTAAATTTAAAGAAATGTTTCGTGAAAAGAAATGTGTTAGCAAGAATAAATTTTTTTGTTAGGAAGGTATCATAAACAGCCAATGTGATGTTTGTGTTAGGAAGGTATCATAAA